CCCAAACTCCACACCATCGCGCCACAGTAGAGTAATCCCGAGAGCACGACGTGATGACGCCAACCCTTCCACACCTCAGCCAAGTCAGAGCGAAGGAGGTTATGAGTTATACAATCAGTTGAATCGGACCTCCTTGTCCTCGTAGTCCCACAATATGAGCTTCACGTTCGCCTTGAGCTCCACCAGATCTCGCCGGTGCCTCATGATGAGCAGCACGTGCTGCAGTGTGAGGGACAGACCCCAAAACAGGAGGCCGATGCACGTGACCATCTCCACGCCAAACAGGACCACGAGCACGTCCAGAGAGTGGACGTACTCACCCGACTTCTTGATCACTGGGCGAGCCGGGGGAAAGGTAGAGAGATGCATTAGAAACTAAATCGGTAGGTCTGCACTTTTCGGATCACTGGGCGAGCCAGGGAAAGATAAATTGTGTACATTGAAAATTAATTTATCGGTACTTTTTCGGATCACTGAGCGAGCCAGAGAAAGATGGATACACTACATTAATTATTAATTTGTCAGTACTTTTTCGGATCGCTGAGCGAGCCGGGAAAAGAGATATTTATCGGTACACTTTCGGATCACTGGGAGAGGCAGGGATTACATGAACATTAATTTATCAGTACACTTCTGTATCACTGGTTGAGCCAGGGAAAGTTAGATTACATTATTTTGTCAATACACGTTCGGACCACTAGGCGTGCCAGAGAAAGATAGCTGACGTACATTCATTTATCGGTACTCTGGTGGATCATTGGGCGAACGAGAGAACGATAGAAATGCATCATGTATGCATCAAATTATCGATACATTTCGGATCACTGGGCGAGCCAGGGAAAGATAAATACATAATAATTAATGTCAGTAATTTATCAGTGCACTTCTGCATCACTGGTTGAGCCAAGGAAAGTTAGACGCATGATTTTATCGGTATATTTTTGGATCACTGGGCGAATCAGAGAAACATACACTTACTGACCAGCACACTTCTAGATCTCAGGGCAAGCCAGGAAAAGATGACATTAATTTATTGGTCCACTTCGGATCACTGTGCAAGCCAGAGAAATATTGAAAGATAAATTTCTCGGTAGACTTGTGGATTTCTGGGCGAGTCGTGGAAATATTATAGATAAA